GGAAAGACTTGTGGGTAGAGATGAATTTCCGGGGTGGAACTTGTTAGATCTCTGAGTGTTGCCCTCACTTTGGAGAGAGCATGAAAGCCTTCAGTTTGGCCTACAAACTGGAAAAGAAATCTGAGAAGGGGGGCCCTTTTCTTCCTGCAGTAAGAAAACCAGAGGCCATGGCTCTGGCACTTTCTGCCCCAAGAGCCTGGGCCGGGAGGCGCCCCGCGGAGCACCAGGACCAGAGGAGAAGGGAGGCTGGTGCCCTGGGTGGGAAGAGCCCTGATTCTGCTCCAGATCCTGCAGGACCCCTCCCAGCCCGGTCCCACTCCCCCTCTTGGGTGTCTGAGCGCAGCCCTACACAAGGAGGGCCGGCTGCACCCTTATCACCTGGGAAGCTTCAGGCCCCGCCCCAGCCTTACTAAATCAGAAACCGCCCCTGGGGCCCAGCCAGCTGTCACAAATCCAGTCCTGCAGCTTGCTCCCTGCCCTTGGGCTGGAGCAGCTCTGTCCTCAGGCCCCCGATGACCGGCTGGTGCTAGTGATGGTGGCCATTCTAGCACGATGACAGCTGGGGCCCTGGAGGAAGACCGGCACCCGCCTGACAACTCTTGCAGTTTCCGCAAGGTTCCAGCCACTAGGCTCGACTCTAGACGGCAGTGTGCTGTGCTCAGAGCTCCTCAGAAGAGTCCTGTCCGTCCATAGGTCATCAGACCCAGAACAGAAACGTCAGCAGACACAACGGGGAGTTTGGGGAATAATGATGCGATTCCTTCACCCTGCGACTCACACTATATTGTGGAAAGTGCCTCGGAATATACTCTCCACTTAAGATCTCTTCAAATCCTGCCTCCGCGCCGAAAACCAGGGGGCTGGGAACCACTACCCCAGCCCATACTGGGTACTGGCCACAGTGAGTTAGTAGTTCTTGAGCAAATCCAATCTTTCAGGCCACTTGTTTCTCTCCTGTGTGAACTTGCCTAGGCTGTTGCCTCCCTTGTGCAAAGGACAAGCAGAGACACTCTTGCGGTTATGAAGTGTCCACGGCAACCCTTGTTGGCAGGTTCTGATTGGACGTGAAAGAACAGACGTCCCCGGGGATTATGAACAACAAGACCCAACATCAGAGAGGGCTGCTCTCGGAAATGATGGGAATAAGACAGCCACGAGTCCCCTGTTGTTCCTATAGGGGATTATGCTCAAGAGTGGAGAGACGGGGCTCCGGTTCCTCTGTGGGGAACCGGTTTTCCTGCATCACTTCTGATTCCGCCTGGGGGGACTTTCCACACCTATGAGCGCTTCTCCCAAGTGTCCTGCAATTGGATCCAGTTCCCACACTAACTCCCTGCGCTCGGCATGGACCCCACAGGGCAACAAGGGGCTCAGCCCCACAACACTGCCCCCCACTTCAGATGCCAGTGCAACTACTGGGTGCCCAGGTACCCGCTCTTCTGTCTGACGTGGCCACAAAGTCTGGGGTCTCCGCGACTTTCGCTTTCAGGTTTGATAATTTGCTAGCGCTGCTCACGGAACCCAGAGAAGTGCTTTACTTGTTCTTATCAGTTTATTGCATGTATCAGTTTATACAACTCAGGAACAGCCAAATGGGAGAGGAGCGTAGGATGAGGTGAGCGGGTAGAGGTGCGTGGAGCCTCCCCGTCCTATCGGAACCTGCCACCTTCAGCCTGGAAACTCTCCGAACCCGTCATTTAGGGGTTTTTATCCAGGCTTCATTACATGCGCATGACTGACCACTGGTGATCTGACCCAATTGCCAGCCCCTCTCCCCTCCCTGGGTGGGGGTGGGGGGATAGAGCTGAGAGTTCCAACCCTCTAAGCATGATGTGGTCTTTCTGGCCACCAGCCCTTATCCTGAAGCTACCTAAGTGTCCCAGCCACCAGTCATTTCATGAACATGCAAAAACCCTCTTTTCGCTCTGGAGATTCCGAGGTTTTTAAGCGCCAGGTGCCAGGAACTGGGAACAAAGACCAAATACTCATGTCTTACTGTATCACAATCAGCCGCCTGAGTCCACAAGGCGGTAAAGGCACCAGCTACAAGGAAGAGGTCCCCG